TACGTACAATTTTATAATTTTATTGAATCTATTATGCCGAAATTACAAACTTAACCGAATCGGCCTAAAAATCATTCAGTTAATTTTTATCAGGTGTTTCAGGAATTATGATAATAGCTATAACAAAGAAAAATTTGCTCACCGAAAATGTGTACAAGGTTGTGCTCTATGTTATAAATCGACTTTTCCTTTGCACTGCACTTTTAGTTCTATTATTTATTCCTTATTTGCGCATAACATTAAAGGAAAGAAAATAAAAAAGAATTATATTTTATCTGATCTATTAATTTTACTTCAAATTCTTTAACATTAAAATCAAGCTTTCCTAATGATTACGCAACAAAACATAAATTATATAATATAGCCAGCATTAAATTTATCAATCAAAAACAAGCTGTTTTCTAGGAAATTTAACTTATTCGCTGAAAGTTCTTTAAACAACTTATTTGTATTTTCGTAAAGAAAATTTTTCTTTGTTAATTGAGAAATTTTGAATTCCGGAGTAGTCATCCGAACTGACACGAGCTCATCCAGAGCGCAACTTTGTACACATTTTCGGTATGCTAGTATGGTATTTGAAATAAATATTTTAATATAATAATATAATTTATAACAGTATAATACAAAAAAAAAAATCCTAGCAGAGGTAATTTTTTATAATTCTTTTTGAATAATTGTTTTAACATTCAAACCTTCGCTTTTTCCATTGATGCTCACGATCCATACAAAAATAATTTGATTTGCCAGTATTTCAAAGTAATCTTATCTTTTTCTCCTTTAATAAATTTTCTACCCAAAAAATAAATATTATAATTTTTGTTGTAATAAAGGCCTTGCACTTCTTTTGCATCACTTTCTTTCTCTACTATCATCATCATTATTGTAAATATTCAAATCGTTATTTTAGATACTTAGATCGAAGAATGTTCTTTATACTATCTTCTAAATTAGCGTGAGTAAATGAAATTGAATAATAAGTATTTATTAACTTGAATCATCAGTTGAAATATCTATATTATAAATGCTTTTACACTCATCTTCTAAATTAGCACGAGTAAAATAAAATAATGTTCATGAACTTGAATCATTATTCTAAATATTTAAATTAATAAATACATTTTATGTTCATATCCTATGAATAAAACGAAATATTTTGTAGACATGAATATCTTGTTTTAAATATTTAAATTAATAACGCTCTTTACAATATCATCTAAATTAACATGAATAAAGTGATTTCAAATTATATATAAAACTATTATGAAAATTGCTCATTATAATTGCTTCTAAAAAAAATTAAACCTCTTTTGAAAAATCTTTAAAATATAATCTATACTGTAAAATTTACAAAAAAAATATATCTCTTTATTTGTAAATTATTTATAGCGTAGCTTTGTTATAATTTAATTATCAAAAAAATTGTGAAAAAAGTACTTCATTATTTTCTGATAAGCAATGATAA